CGACATCAGGTAATATACTGTGTATTACATATTTCTATGAACAACTGTATGCCGACATCAGGTAATATACTGTGTATTACATATTTCTATGAACAACTGTATGTTCTATGAACAACTGTATGCCGACATCAGGTAATATACTGTGTATTACATATTTCTATGAACAACTGTATGTTCTATGAACAACTGTATGCCGACATCAGGTAATATACTGTGTATTACATATTTCTATGAACAACTGCATGCCGACATCAGGTAATATACTGTGTATTACATATTTCTATGAACAACTGTATGCCGACATCAGGTAATAGACTGTGTATTACATATTTCTATGAACAACTGTATGTTCTATGAACAACTGTATGCCGACATCAGGTAATATACTGTGTATTACATATTTCTATGAACAACTGTATGTTCTATGAACAACTGTATGCCGACATCAGGTAATATACTGTGTATTACATATTTCTATGAACAACTGTATGTTCTATGAACAACTGTATGCCGACATCAGGTAATATACTGTGTATTACATATTTCTATGAACAACTGTATGCCGACATCAGGTAATATACTGTGTATTACATATTTCTATGAACAACTGCATGCCGACATCAGGTAATATACTGTGTATTACATATTTCTATGAACAACTGTATGCCGACATCAGGTAATATACTGTGTATTACATATTTCTATGAAAAACTGTATGTCGACATCAGGTAATATACTGTGTATTACATATTTCTATGAACAACTGTATGTTCTATGAACAACTGTATGTCGACATCAGGTAATATACTGTGTATTACATATTTCTATGAACAACTGTATGTTCTATGAACAACTGTATGCCGACATCAGGTAATATACTGTGTATTACATATTTCTATGAAAAACTGTATGCCGACATCAGTAATATACTGTGTATTACATATTTCTATGAAAAACTGTATGTCGACATCAGGTAATATACTGTGTATTACATATTTCTATGAACAACTGTATGTTCTATGAACAACTGTATGCCGACAT